ATTGCAAATTGTAAACAGAAAAAATGATACAAAATTTGTTAATTTACCCAAGGAGATATTTCACTGAGTATTGGAAATTTTCCTTTGTTTATTTCTCATCTTCAATGAAGGAGAGTACCTAATACACTAAATACTAAAGAAAAAACCTAAAAACTTTTATAATTCTTTAGACCTTTAGGTAGCAAGAGTGAACAGACATATAAAGTGGTGACCTTCAATGAACAATCATAATCACATTAAAGAAGAGACCTAAACTGGGATAGAGAACAGTTCTCAAATATTAAAACTCACCAAATTTCTTTATCATTTGAGCGACCTCCTCTGCCCCTTGTCTCTTCCCGGGTTTCTCAGCAACAAGAGAGGGTTTCCCAGCCACAGGTCCAGCCCACTGGGCCTGAACTTTTTGGCATGGGCAGTTAACTCATGAACCACCTCCATGCCAGCCCATAAAAAAATAAAAATAAATAACACATAGCTCTTAGAAATCCCCTGAGTAATATGTTACATAGTTAAGAAAACCTGAACACTGCAACATAATAACTAGAGCTCTTTGTGATATCATTGGTTATGGTTCAGCTTTAAAGAATTTATAATATTGGTATTCTTTTCACGTGAAAATTTGTGGTGTGAATTGAGATTGCAAATAGTAAACAGAAAAAATGATACAAAATCTGTTAATTTACCCAAGGAGATATTTCACTGAGTATTGGAAATTTAACCTTTGTTCATTTCTCATCTTCAATGAAGCAGAGTACCTAATACAATAAATACTAAATAAAAAACCTAAAAACTATTATAATTGTTTAGACCTTTAGGTAGCAAGAGTGAACAGACATATAAAGTGGTGACCTTCAATGAACAATCATAATCACATTAAAGAAGAGACCTAAACTGAGACAGAGAACAGTTCTCAAATATTAAAACTCACCATATTTCTTTATCATTTGAGCGATCTCCTCTGCCCCTTGTCTCTTCCCGGGTTTCTCAGCCATCTCCTCTGCCCCTTGTCTCTTCCCGGGTTTCTCAGCAACAAGAGAGGGTTTCCCAGCCATAGGTCCAGCCCACTGGGGCCTGAACTTTTTGGCATGGGCAGTTAACTCATGAACCACCTCCATGCCAGCCCATAAAAAAATAAAAATAAATAACACATAGCACTTAGAAATCTCCTGAGTAATATGTTACATAGTTAAGATAACCTGAACACTGCAACATAATAACTAGATCTCTTTGTGATATCGTTGGTTATGGTTCAGCTTTAAAGAATTTATAATATTGGTATTCTTTTCACATGAAAATTTGTGGTGTGAATTGAGATTGCAAATAGTAAACAGAAAAAATGATACAAAATCTGTTAATTTACCCAAGGAGATTTTTCACTGAGTATTGGAAATTTTCCTTTGTTCATTTCTCATCTTCAATGAAGCAGAGTACCTAATACACTAAATACTAAAGAAAAAACCTAAAAACTATTATAATTCTTTAGAATTTTAGGTAGCCAGAGTGAACAGACATATAAAGTGGTGACCTTCAATGAACAATCATAATCACATTAAAGAGGAGACCTAAACTGAGACAGTGAACAGTTCTCAAATATTAAAACTCACCATATTTCTTTATCATTTGAGCGATCTCCTCTGCACCTTGTCTCTTCCCGGGTTTCTCAGCATCTCCTCTGCCCCTTGTCTCTTCCCGGGTTTCTCAGCAACAAGAGAGGGTTTCCCAGCCACAGGTCCAGCCCACTGGGCCTGAACTTTTTGGCATGGGCAGTTAACTCATGAACCACCTCCATGCCAGCCCATAAAAAAATAAATAAATAACACATAGCTCTTAGAAATCTCCTGAGTAATATGTTACATAGTTAAGAAAACTGAACACTGCAACATAATAACTAGAGCTCTTTGTGATATCATTGGTTATGGTTCAGCTTTAAAGAATTTATAATATTGGTATTCTTTTTCACGTGAAAATTTGTGGTGTGAATTGAGATTGCAAATAGTAAACAGAAAAAAATGATACAAAATCTGTTAATTTACCCAAGGAGATATTTCACTGAGTATTGGAAATTTTCCTTTGTTCATTTCTCATCTTCAATGAAGCAGAGTACCTAATACACTAAATACTAAAGAAAAAACCTAAAAACTATTATAATTCTTTAGACCTTTAGGTAGCAAGAGTGAACAGACATATAAAGTGATGACCTTCAATGAACAATCATAATCACATTAAAGAGGAGACCTAAACTGAGATAGAGAACAGTTCTCAAATATTAAAACTCACCATATTTCTTTATCATTGAGCGATCTCCTCTGCACCTTGTCTCTTCCCGGGTTTCTCAGCCATCTCCTCTGCCCCTTGTCTCTTCCGGTTTCTCAGCAACAAGAGAGGTTTCCCAGCCACAGGTCCAGCCCACTGGGGCCTGAACTTTTTGGCATGGGCAGTTAACTCATGAACCACCTCCATGCCAGCCCATAAAAAAATAAAAATAAGAGTAAAAGACATTTTTGGTCCTAGACTTATAGTGGCACGGACAATTTTAGTCCTTTTTAAAAAAATCAGACAATTTGTGGACACTCTTATTATGACGAGGACAATTTTGGTCCTCCGTCTAAATTTCCGTTAGATGGCATGTTAAATAGGGGGTAATTTCGTCTTATCAAGTGTCCTTCATTCTTTCCCTTTTTATTCCCTTTTTATTCCCGAGCGTAAGAGTCAATTCTTCGTCGGAGCATAATTGTTTGATTCATAACGATGGCCTCGAAGCTTCTAGCCGCCGTTTTCCGCCGCTCGTTTGATAAACCCTACGCCATTCTCCGTCCTTTTTCGACCTCTGCTGCTGCGGCGGCGGAGTAGAGCCCTATGAGGAAGAAACAGCTGGAGTCACCATGAAAGGAGTGAAGATCTCCGGAAGACCTCTCTACCTGGATATGCAGGTCACTTCTCCGGTGGATCCGCGTGTGCTTGACGCCATGCTCCCTTATTATCTCTCGCGATTCGGGAACCCTCACTCTCGGACTCACCTCTACGGCTGGGAATCGGACCAGGCCGTCGAGACCCCGGGCGCAAGTTGCGACCCTAATTAACCTTCTCCGAAGGAGATTATCTTCACTTCCGTCATCTGCAGCAAGAGGGCTTCGATGTTACTTACCTTCCCGTTGAACCCGACGGGCTTATTAACCTAGACAAGCTCAGGGCGGCGATTCGGCCCGACACAGGCCTGGTTCGGTCATGATGGTGAATAATGAGATTGGGGTTATTCAACCCGTTGAGGAAATCGGAAAAATTTGCAAAGAATTCAATGTGCCTTTCCATACCGATGCGGCCAAGCTTTAGGGAAGATTCCAATCGAGATTGATAGAGCGGTGGGGCTTACTGTGCACTAAGTCGAGAAATTGAGGGAAATGAGCCCCCTTTATGAGATGGTTAAGGAGGGTATTGACATTAAGAGTATCGAATGGACACAACACTGAATGGTTGCATTCTTTGGGCATTTTCTGCTACTAACAATGATTAACCAGAGATGAACACGCTAGGTGAGGTTGCAGATCAGGCATAGAGACTGCAAGCAATCAAGGTTTTGTCCAAGAATGCGCCCATTACATGCTTCTTTATGTTTTGTTCTGCAGGATAAATATTGCAAGTGAATTGGTATTTATATATGTTGAGATTGTATGTCTCTGATATTTGTACCCTCTCCCTTGCCATACAGATGGAAAAGCATACATTGGCAGTCCCATAATTCAGCTGTGTTGATATTGATTGATGTTTTAAGATTTTGGGTGTGCAGATTTTGGTATGTATTTGCTAATTTATATATTGGTTAGCAATTTTCTTGCCCACATTCACAAACTTGAATCGAAATCCATTCACCATTCACCAGGATTGCTTCTTCAATCTGCCTCTTCGCTCGTCAATCTCGAATGAAGAACAGAACCACATTGCCGTATTAAAATGGAGGACGTAAGCTGAAAAGACGAATGTACCCCCTATCTAACGGGCCATCTAACAGAAATTTAGACGGAGGACCAAAATTGTCCTCGTCATAATAAGAGTGTCCACAAATTGTCTGATTTTTTTAAAAAGGACTAAAATTGTCCGTGCCACTATAAGTCTAGGACCAAAAATGTCTTTTACTCTAAAAATAAATAACACATAGCTCTTAGAAGTTTCCTGAGTAATATGTTACATAGTTAAGAAACCTGAACACTGCAACATAATAACTAGATCTCTTTGTGATATCATTGGTTATGGTTCAGCTTTAAAGAATTTATAATATTGGTATTCTTTTCACATGAAAATTTGTGGTGAGAATTGAGATTGCAAATAGTAAACAGAAAAAATGATACAAAATCTGTTAATTTACCCCAAGGAGATATTTCACTGAGTATTGGAAATTTTCCTTTGTTCATTTCTTATCTTCAATGAAGCAGAGTACCTAATACACTAAATACTAAAGAAAAAACCTAAAAACTATTATAATTCTTTAGACTTTTAGGTAGCCAGAGTGAACAGACATATAAAGTGGTGACCTACAATGAACAATCATAATCACATTAAAGAGGAGACCTAAACTGAGACAGTGAACAGTTCTCAAATATTAAAACTCACCATATTTCTTTATCATTTGAGCGATCCCCTCTGCCCCTTGTCTCTTCCCGGGTTTTCTCAGCCATCTCCTCTGCCCCTTGTCTCTACCCGGGTTTTCAGCAACAAGAGAGGGTTTCCCAGCCACAGGCCTAGCCCATGGGGGCTTGAACTTTTTGGCATGGGCAGTTAACTCATGGACAACCTCCATGCCTGCCCATAAAATAATAAAAATAAATAAAACATAGCACTTAGAAATCTCCTGAGTAATATGTTACATAGTTAAGAAAACCTGAACACTGCAACATAATAACTAGATCTCTTTGTGATATCATTGGTTATGGTTCAGCTTTAAAGAATTTATAATATTGGTATTCTTTTCACATGAAAATTTGTGGTGTGAATTGAGATTGCAAATAGTAAACAGAAAAAATGATACAAAATCTGTTAATTTACCCAAGGAGATATTTCACTGAGTATTGGAAATTTTCCTTTGTTCATTTCTTATCTACAATGAAGCAGAGTACCTAATACACTAAATACTAAAGAAAAAACCTAAAAACTATTATAATTCTTTAGACTTTTAGGTAGCCAGAGTGAACAGACATATAAAGTGGTGACCTACAATGAACAATCATAATCACATTAAAGAGGAGACCTAAACTGAGACAGTGAACAGTTCTCAAATATTAAAACTCACCATATTTCTTTATCATTTGAGCGATCCCCTCTGCCCCTTGTCTCTTCCCGGGTTTCTCAGCCATCTCCTCTGCCCTTGTCTCTCCCGGGTTTCTCAGCAACAAGAGAATGTTTCCCAGCCACAGGCCTAGCCCATGGGGGCTTGAACTTTTTGGCATGGGCAGTTAACTCATGGACACCTCCATGCCTGCCCATAAAATAATAAAAATAAATAAAACATAGCACTTAGAAATCTCCTGAGTAATATGTTACATAGTTAAGAAAACCTGAACACTGCAACATAATAACTAGATCTCTTTGTGATATCATTGGTTATGGTTCAGCTTTAAAGAATTTATAATATTGGTATTCTTTTCACATGAAAATTTGTGGTGTGAATTGAGATTGCAAATAGTAAACAGAAAAAATGATACAAAATCTGTTAATTTACCCAAGGAGATATTTCACTGAGTATTGGAAATTTTCCTTTGTTCATTTCTCATCTTCAATGAAGCAGAGTACCTAATACAATAAATACTAAAGAAAAAACCTAAAAACTATTATAATTCTTTAGACCTTTAGGTAGCAAGAGTGAACAGACATATAAAGTGGTGACCTTCAATGAACAATCATAATCACATTAAAGAGGAGACCTAAACTGAGATAGAGAACAGTTCTCAAATATTAAAACTCACCATATTTCTTTATCATTTGAGCGATCTCCTCTGCACCTTGTCTCTTCCCGGGTTTCTCAGCCATCTCCTCTGCCCCTTGTCTCTTCCCGGGTTTCTCAGCAACAAGAGAGGGTTTCCCAGCCACAGGTCCAGCCCACTGGGGCCTGAACTTTTTGGCATGGGCAGTTAACTCATGAACCACCTCCATGCCAGCCCATAAAAAAATAAAAATAAATAACACATAGCTCTTAGAAGTCTCCTGAGTAATATGTTACATAGTTAAGAAAACCTGAACACTGCAACATAATAACTAGATCTCTTTGTGATATCATTGGTTATGGTTCAGCTTTAAAGAATTTATAATATTGGTATTCTTTTCACATGAAAATTTGTGGTGTGAATTGAGATTGCAAATAGTAAACAGAAAAAATGATACAAAATCTGTTAATTTACCCAAGGAGATATTTCACTGAGTATTGGAAATTTTCCTTTGTTCATTTCTCATCTTCAATGAAGCAGAGTACCTAATACAATAAATACTAAAGAAAAAACCTAAAAACTATTATAATTCTTTAGACCTTTAGGTAGCAAGAGTGAACAGACATATAAAGTGGTGACCTTCAATGAACAATCATAATCACATTAAAGAGGAGACCTAAACTGAGATAGAGAACAGTTCTCAAATATTAAAACTCACCATATTTCTTTATCATTTGAGCGATCTCCTCTGCACCTTGTCTCTTCCCGGGTTTCTCAGCCATCTCCTCTGCCCTTGTCTCTTCCCGGGTTTCTCAGCAACAAGAGATGGTTTCCCAGCCACAGGTCCAGCCCATTGGGGCCTGAACTTTTTGGCATGGGCAGTTAACTCATGAACCACCTCCATGCCAGCCCATAAAAAAAAAAATAAATAACACATAGCTCTTAGAAGTCTCCTGAGTAATATGTTACATAGTTAAGAAAACCTGAACACTGCAACATAATAACTAGATCTCTTTGTGATATCATTGGTTATGGTTCAGCTTTAAAGAATTTATAATATTGGTATTCTTTTCACATGAAAATTTGTGGTGAGAATTGAGATTGCAAATAGTAAACAGAAAAAATGATACAAAATCTGTTAATTTACCGAAGGAGATATTTCACTGAGTATTGAAATTTTCCTTTGTTCATTTCTCATCTTCAATGAAGCAGAGT